CAGAGCAAAACCAAGCAACAATGTACAACAAAATAGCAACAACATCAAGCCACTGACAAAGAACAAATCAAAATATACCAAGAAAGAAAAGCCTGTAGCCAGTTCAAAACTCTCTCTTATACACATATGAGAGTTTGTGAATTTGTTTCTCTAGTCTATCCAGACAAGCACAGTCATGAAACTGTGTCCCCCAAAATGACGTACTGAATTGAATTGGCCATCATTCTCAGTGGCTTGGCAGTTATGGAATCATTCCCCATGATGTGATCTACTGTGATCATTTGACCATTTGTCAAGGGATTAGGGTGGGATGCAGCACCTTTATTCAGGTCACAGCCCTGAGCCTACCCAAGGGTCATTTCTCTAGGTGTGGCTAATATCACCTTTTACCACAAACAGGTAAAAGGACAGATGAGTGAGCAGAGAAGTAGGGACCTTAGATTTGTTAGGTTTTGGAATGGTTTTCCTCGGGTCTTGCTTCTCTATGCAGGAAGAATCCACACAGCCAGGAGCATGATTGCATGCAAATGGAACCTTTTCTGAATGAAAGTAAAGCTTTTGCTAGTACTTTCTCACAGACAAAAATAGGCTATCTCTGGAAAACAGGGAGGGCTGTGTGGAGAGACTAGGAAAGGAGGGGCAGTGGAACTGAAAGAGGGAGAGTAGGTGCCATCTCAGGAAAGGGGGAGAGACAAGAGATGGGGTGAGAAGAGGTGGAACCAGATACAGAGACTTCAGGCTGTGCCTCCGCTTTTATGCCCTCCCTCCCTGACTGGTCTCCTTCCACATCCACTTGGACGATGTGGTTGTGTGTATTGCTAGACTCTTAGTGGATGTGTTCAGACATGTGTGTGATTTATAGAACTATAGCATTGCGGGCTCTTACTGCATATGTCCAAGCTTTGAGTGGGTATGCATAAGAATATGTATGGCCTGACTGGTCCTTTTCTACATAGATCAAAGCTTTGGGTCTTTTACTGTGTATGTCTCTTCCCATAGCATTCGAAGGTGTTCCTGATTTATTTTTGGAAGGACACTTTTACTTATGGGCATTGCTAAGTACTCTTTGCTGATTGGGTCTTTAGAGGGCAGCTGTCTTTTCCCTAAGCTTCTCGCCTATCAGAACCTTTAAAAACAAAAATGCCCGGAGGGGAGCATGTCCTTTGAACCTGGGTTTCCTATACTGAGAATCTCCTAGATTCAGGGGGCAATTTGTATCAACAAACATGGAGATTTCAAAGGGAGCACAGGTACACAAATGCTAAAACAAGACAACAGACTTTCTCCAGAGCTGAAAGAAAGAGAAAGCTTTCCCGTAGAGATAGCCTCTTGAATTTGCAATTCTAGTCTCCAAACTGAAAGAATAAATTTCTGTTTGGTAAAATCAAATCTTTATGACATATATGGCAGAGCGCTATAGAAAAGACAGTAGTGGGATTATGCTCTAACAGGTACCTAAAATGTGGAAGTAGATTTTGAATTGAGTAATGGGCAGAGGCTTGAAGAGTTATAAGATGCCTAACAATAGTAACAATGTAGGCTGCCTTGAGCAGGATGTTGGTGAAATGTGGCCATCCAAGGAGATTCTGATGAAGCTTCAACAGGAGTAAGGCATGTTGTAACACCAACAAATGGTGCAGATGGTGAGAAGCAGCAGCAGATTCATGGTGGCAGCAGAACCAAGAGACCAGCATAGGATGGTGAGGAGGCCAGTGCACAGAGCTAAAAAGCTGAGTGCCTCTGGTCTCGAGCTTATCAGTGGAGCGAGATGTCTCAGGGTATTTGTCAGTAAAGCTAAAGAGCTTCATAACACTTGATCAAGCAGACAGAGTCCAGGCTGGCTCGAGAGTCACGAGTATGAGGGTCAAAAGCCTAGGAACAGACAAGCAGAAACTGAAGAAACGAAGAGCATGGGAAGTGGAGTCCCTCGGTCTTTAAAGGTGGGGCTTTGACCTCTGGGGTATCTGAGAATGATGACATGGCCGATGAAGTTTTGGAAAGCAAGATCACAAGTTTCCACAGTTAAAATAGTGAGACCTTCACTAATGCCATTCATTAGTATCAGGGGATGGGGTGGAATACTCAGCCCAAAGTTGACTGAGTGTGGATGCCTGCCAAAGGGCAGAAGAATGAGACCCTTTATGGCCTGGGAGCTGGGCGTTCCACTTAGCTGGATTGAAAGACTGGGTCTACTCAAGTCTAGGAAGCAGATTTGCTGTCCCAGTGGGATTGGGACACCTAGTTTACGCCTAGACCTGAGAGGCCTCCACCCCAAATCCAGAATATGGCCAACACCCAGAGTCTGAATGACAGGATCTGGCCAGAGGGCCCCAAAGACGACAGAGATATTTTCAAGCCTTGGGAGCCAATGGAAATTGTTCTGCAGGGGTTTGGACTTGCCTTATAGTTATTATCACTTCTTTCTTCTGGTTTTTCCCATTTATAAGGGGAAGGTCTGCCATGTGCCTGCTCCACTATTACACTTTGGAAGCAGATAAGATAACATGTATTCTAGATTCACAAATGAAGAGGAATTTTGCCTCAGGATGGAATTTTGGACTTGGAGTTGATTCAAGACTTTTGGGATTATATGATGTGGTGGGAGTGCTTTGCATGTGGCAAGCGCATGGATTGGGGCCCCCAAATTTGGGGTGCCAAAGCATGAAAAGTCATAGTTTGACATTTATATCCCCTAAATATGTATCATCTTGTATGGGTCATGAATTTTAGTGTAATGATGTGATTAATTAGTCCCATAATGTGACCTGAGATGATGAGCTAATCAGTTGTAAAAGGTTAGGGTTGAATGCTCCCTGTACTCCCTGTACTGACCTGATAGAAGGGGAGCTTGGAGTCTTGGAGCTGAGTACTTCCTAGACCCAGGCGAAGATTTTTGGCAAGGCATATAGCGAACACCAAGGAGTGATCTCCACAGATATTGAAAGGAGACAAATTCTTCTCCTAGAGACAATGGAAGGAGCCTTCCCTTAGAGCTGACATCCTGAATTGGGTGTCTAGCCTTCTAAATTTCCTAAATGGAAAATAAATTTTCATTTGTTAAAACAACACACTATAGCATTTTTGTTATAGCAGTACTAGATAACTAAGATAGCTTTTGTTAAAAATTATAGCCTTAGAAACCCTATTGAGATGTTCTACCTTGTCATATAGGGTTGCTGTAAGTTGATATGAGATGAAATTTGGAATACAGCTACCTTGACAACTGACTGGAAGAGATCCATATTTGTACCCATTGAAAGATGAAGGGGACCCAATAAATATATAATCATAGAATAATATCACTGATATCATATACAAGTAAAATTTTATTGAAGATTAGTCGACAACAGTTGCAGCAGTACATTGACAGGGAGCTTCCATAGGTTTATGCTAGATTCAGAAGAGAAGGTGGAATAAAGGGTATCATTACTGATGCCAGATTGATGTTGGTTGGAAGCAGAGAATACTAGAAAGATGTTTACTTGTGTTTTATTGACTGTGCCAAGGCATTCAACTCTGTGTACCAAAACAAACTATGGATAGCCTTGAGAAGAATGAGAATTTCAGGACACTTCTTTGTGCTGTATGTGAATCAATAGACAGTTGTGTGACCAGAATAAATGAATACTGCATGGTTTAAAATCAAGGAAGGTCAGTCGCCATATTTATTCAATCTTATTCAATCTGTACATTGAACAAATAATCAGAGAAGTTGGATTATATGAAGAAGAAGGGCATCAGGGTTAGAGGAAGACTTATTAACAACCCGTGATGTGCAGATGACACAATCTTGTTTTCTGAAACCGAAGAGGACTTGAAGCCTTTGTTGATATGAATCAAAGATTGCATCTTTCAGTACAGATTACAACGTAATGTGAAGAAAAAAAGATTTCTCACAACTGGACCACAAGGTAACATTGCAATAATTACAGAAAAAATTGAAGTTATCAAGGATTTTATCTTGCTTGGATCCAGAATCAATGCTCATGGAAAAACAGCGAACTATCAAAAGACACCTTGTATTGGCTAAATCTGCTGCACAAGACCTCTTTAAAGTGTTGAAGAGCTGAGATGTTATTTTAAGGGCTACAGTGTGCCTGACTCAAGCCATAGTATGTTCAATTGCCTCATAGGCATGTGAAAGTTCCACATGGACTCACATGAAAGTGAAAGTTGCACATTGACTCAGGAAGACCACGGAAGAACCATGCATGTGAATTACGGTGCTGATGAAGGGTGTTGAAAGTGCCAGGGACTGGGACAAGAACAAAACTCTGTCTTGGGAGAAGTACAGCCAGAATGCTCCTTAGAGACGAGGATGGTTAGGATTCATCTCAAGTACTTTGTGCATGATAATAAGAGAGGCCAGTCACACAATAGGTGGTAAAATAGAGAGGCTACAAAAGGTGGAAGATCCTTGACATGACAAATCAATACAGTGGATACACCAGTGCGCTTAAACAGAACAATTGTGAGGATGGCACAGATCTAGTAGTGTTGGTGTAAACTTGGATATATTTGTTAACTTAGTGTAGATCTTATTAATGTATGAATAAATAAATATTACAAACTTTTTCCATGATAAACAGTTGACTGTATTCTTGAGTAGGTATGTCTTCAAATAGCTTATAGATTTACAGCATATAATTAATTTATGAATAGACTGTATAGAATACATAGATTGGCAAACAGTAGATTAAATATTTATTTTCCTACAGTAATTTTATTATTGATCATAATTTTACCATTGACTATAGAGGATATACATGGAAAATTTTAGTTATCAGTATGCACAATGAATTGAACTGATATTTAGGTTTATGATTATAATTGCACGGGTAAGAAAAATTTCATAAAATTAATAAAGTACTTTTATGGTTCAGCTTTGACATATTGCTGAGGAAACTCTAAGAAAAAAATGACTCCATTTATTCATGCTATTGTTTGAAGCCACTCCTAGAACTGTCATTTGTACAAAAAAGGTTCAAAAGGATATAAATTGCTTTACTAAAGGTGACATTGTATGTTTTGGTTATCAAGATGAATTTTATAAAATTATGTTAACCTTTCCAAATATAATACCCTATGCAAAGTAGCTGCAATAACATAGGGCAAATAGGACAAATCTTTGCTTGTCTCACAGCAAACAGTTCTGATGCTGGTTTACTGCTAGGATGATCTATGGAGAATTGTGAATTTTACTCTTCTGAATTTCCTACATCCACCAAATTCAGCTCACATGTTGTGCTCTCCTCAGAAGTCACCGTACTGTTATTTAGCATATCATTCAAGGTTAAAAAAGGAAAATATTGGTGTTATGAATAGAACATACTATTAATGGCCGTATCAGGAAACAAAAAATAGGGTAAATCCTGGGAAAAGATGAAGGTAGAATGGGACACAGTTAATGATCTTACTGATTTTTGAACCATGTCGTTTGGTTATGTTAATTCGGTGAGTATTCTACAATATAGAGGTGATACTTTCTTTTTTATTTTTATTAAGCTTCCTGTGGCTAAAATAAACAGAAATTTCTATGCACAAATATTTGCCAGATTGGACTAATCTATTCCCTCTTTTTCTTTTTTCCTCTTTTCCCAAGTTTTTTACAAGAAAACAAACAACATTTTGTGACCAAGAATAGAGCAGTTGCCACACAGACGAGTAGAAACCCAATGACGTCCAAGGAATGGTACTGGAGCCAGGTGAGGTCGTGAGCAGCCGGGCGAAGGTGCTTGGCTCCCTTATGGCGCATGACAAACTCAATCCAGAAGACAGCTCGATCTAGGGGCTTAACAGGTTGATCGTGATGAATGGCTGATAATCTCATAGCATTCTCTTTATAGCTGGAAGAAAATACATAGACAAAAGAGGAGAGATGATGTTTTTATTATTAAAGTTAACAATGAGACACATGTTATATGTATTATGTGTCGAAAGTCATACAAACCAAAGCCCATATGATATTAAGGAAAATATTAATTATTACTCTAATATTAGCATTGAATAGGATTTTATCTAGTATAAAGGGGAGAGTGCGGAACAAGTATATTCTTAGCAGAGTGCACTCAAATGCTAACACAAAATTGTAATATGCATAAACATATATAAATGTCTAAAAATGCAATAAGTATAACACAAAAAATGTAAAGTACCACCTATGAATATGTAGCCTATTTTCTAAGAACAAGCTGACAGTATTTGAAGTTTAGTTTCTAAGACATTCGAAGAGTAAAATGATGAATGATCCCCAAGTGTTAGAAAGCTGTCTTAAAGGTGCATATGTGTGACCTCTAATATTGGGTTAATGGATGACGCCTGACACTGAAACGCTGTTGTTAGTTGGCCTTAGAATTGTCTCTGACTGATGGGAACCTCGTGGAAAACAGAGCACAACATTGCCTAGACCCAAACCACCCTCACGTAGAAAGCCCCGGTGGGTACACGTGGGACGGCTAACCACAAGGTCAGCAGTTAGAAGCCACTAGCTGGTCCACCAGCAGATGGAAAGATGAGGCATTCTATTCCTATACAAGAAAAGAGTATTTTAATATTCTTTGCCAGCATCACTATTCAAATATATCCATTCTTCTCCAGTCTTCCTTATCCAACGCCCAACTTTACATGCACATGAGGTAACTGAAGCACCATGCGTTTGGGAGAGGAGCACCATAACCCTCAAAGTACGTTATTGGTCTTCTACCTTGTTCAGATGATTTTCCCAGTGCAATATGTCCTTTGATTTATTGACTGCTGCTTCCATGAGCATTGATTATGGGTCCAAGCAAGATAAACTCCTTGACAATTTCAATGTTTTCTCTGTTTATAATGATTTTCTCTATTGATCATCACAGGTTGTTAATGAGCCTTCTTCCAATCCTGATGCTATATTGTTCTTCACATAGTCCAGCTTCTCGGATTATTTGCTCAGTATACAGATTGAATAAGCATAGTGAAAGAATACTGCTCTACTGCATGCATTCCCTTATTCTAAATCACACAGGATTCCTTTACTCTGTTCAAAGGAATGTCTCTTGGTCCATAGATTCCATAGAAGCACAATGGAGTGCTCTGGATTTCCCATTCTTTCCAGTGCTAGCCATAGTGTATTATGAACAACACAGCCGAATGCTTTGGTGTTGTCAAAAAAACACAAGCAAGCATCCGTATGGTGTTCTCATTGCATAGTCATCCTTCAAGCTCATTCAGCACCGTCGAGTAGACCCCAACTCATAGTGATCCAACAGGACAAATGTGAACGACCTCTGTGGGGTTTTGAGACTGAAAATCTTTAAAGGAATAAAAAACCTCCCTTCTCCTGTATGGAGCACTGGTGGTGTCGTGCGATCTGCACCACTTTGCACTGTGATCTGCATGGTCAGCTGTTCAAAACCACCCGCAGCTCCGTGGGAGACAGACTGGGGTTTCCACTCCCATAAACAATTACAGTCTCGGAAACCCACAGGGGATCGCAATGAGTCAGCATTGACTCGATGGCAGAGTTCATTCTCCCATAGGTTTTATTGGGTTGCTGAAAACAAAAACAGTCTTGTGAATCAGTCACTGACTGTTTTTGCCGAATCCTATCCTTAGATCTCTTCCTGATTCCTGTCACCACGGCCACGTTTGATGACTATCGTTCATTCTTTATAGTGACTCCCTCCCCTCACCCACTACTACATTCAGATTCAATTGCGCATTGATCAAATTCAGACTGCAGCCATTTTAAAACTCTTAAATTTTATTTTTGCCATTCATAGCGGTGTGTACATTTAACTGCTAGTATTAATGGGTCTTCTCTGTAGCTGTCTGGCTGGTAACTTATCATTTACAGCAATGTATTGCAGGATAGATTATTGAATGTCATTTTAGACAATGAAGGTAATGTTGTTTTTCTTCACCGTGTCATTCTCAGCATAATACCCTGTACAATTGTGTGATTCACAATATTAGCTCATTTCTGCTCACTGATGTCCAGGAGGCTGACTTGCAAGCATTCTATTTCATTTGTGATGATTTCCTATTTTCCTTGATTCATTACTCCTATATTTCATACTTTGCTGACTAATGGGTGAATTACTGTTCCAGGATCTAAGATTTTGGCATTTTGGTAATTTTCATTTTGCACACACTGCTAATTTCTGGTTGAAGGACATATTTTTATAAGCAGTGTGAAGACTGAATGAAGCTATAAGTCTATTTTAAGAGATAAAATATCCAAATGCACATATTTTATCAAAATTTTTAAAAATTAAAAACGAGCATTTTATGACATTGAGTAAAAACATCTATTTATATCTCTCATACATTTCTCTATTCTAATTTTTACTAAAATGAACAAAATTATCAACAACTAATTCTCCCTCCCCAAACAACAACAATAACAACAAATCCCATTAAGCCAAAACAACCTGCTTCAGTAGGGACTACTGTGACTCATAGTGACCCTATAGGACAGACTAGAACTGCTTCCCAGGTTTCCAAGGTTGTAAATCTTTAGGGATGCAAACTGCCTCATCTTTCTCAGATGAGTGGCCAATGGATTAAAAAACATTGAACTTTTGGTTAACACTCCTAACACTTAACCCACTGCTCTGACTGAGTTTCTTTATAACCCAGGGTCTAGAAATAGCCCAATAAACAAGAGACCAAGGTCAATATTTACGAAAAAGCACCGAAGCAAAGCTAGATGTGACTCCTAAACCCTTATCCAGTTCTTACATTTATGATTTATATTCTCTTCCAAGGGTCAGCTAAAAAGAGGAAAACCCTTGATGAGACAAATGCTCATATTGACTGTAACAACGGGCAAAACAAACCCCACCAAGCTCAGTGTCCTAGAGCATGGGCTAAAGGGGTTTTGAGTCTTTAAATCTTTGCAGAAGGGAAAACCTCACCTTTCCCCACTGAGTGGCTAGTGGTTTGGAAGTGCTAGTCTTGCGGTTAGCAGCCCAACACGTAATCTACTAAGTGAGTATGGTTCAGTGGGCAAACCGAGCAGACATTATGATAATGGGGCAGGATCAGGAAGCATTTTGTTCTGCTGTATATAAGGTTACAAAGAGCCAAAGCGGACCAATGGCATTTTAAACTAGCATAGCATTCTGAAAATTATTATTTATATATAAGTATTAATAACTCAATCAATGAAACTTGTGTAAGGAGGGAAAATGAGCAAGGCAGCCGGGCTGATCCTTTAGGATGGATATAAGTCAAATATAAAGTGTCTGCCCTATGAATACACATTTGGGGAGGGGTTTCTAGAAAATCCCGCAAAAAGGGGAATTTTACAGAGGTTTTATACAGCCTAATGGAAATAACTAAACACCTTGCCATTGAGTTCCTTCTAACATATGACAATACCCTGTGTTACTGAGTAGAACTGTTTTATAGAATTTTTTTTGGCTGAAATCTTCTCAAAAGTAAATCATCAGGCCTCTCTCTTGGATTGTTTCTGGGTAGGTTGAAAGGTTACCACCCAATGTCAAACTGCTTGTAACACCTGGGGATATTTATAAAGCCTAATTTCACTAAAATGAGCTGCACCTAATTCCATCTAAATTCACTTTCATCCTTATCAGTGAATGAACCTTTCACATTTAGTCTCTGAGTTATTTGAGTCTGAAACAATTTTAAGAGCAATTCAGCTACATATACCTGCACGAACAAAGAGATGAAGAATGTAGGCAGCCTTAATATATATAGTTTATCACAGAGAAGATTTGAGGTTGTGAATTAGTGAATAAATTTAAAAAATTATATTTCAAAACAACAGGTATAAAAAATGAGGATTGGTAAACTATTGAAGTAAATTCAATTATAAAAACTTCATAAAGAGTTTAAAAATAGTAGGCAGCACTCAGGATGAAAACTCATTATTAATTTGAAGACATATTATATCTCCACAGGGAAAGAGGGACCAGAGTTCAACCCAGAGCCCCAAGGTGTGAGTGCAACATGCCGGCGTGGAGTAGGGAACCAGTGGAGAGGTGGGGGGGCGGCGGGGCTGGCCCCAGTCCCAAATACTAAGTGGATGCCCGCTCCTCCCTCAGAATAATTTATTTCAAAGGACGGCATTGAAACTGCAGCTCCTGGAGAGAGACATATCTGATTGGAGCACATGGGAGCAGATGAAGGGGGAGTAGGAGAGAGTGGAGCACATCCTGACCCACCAGGCCTTGAGGAGGATGATCCCAATTAGAGCAGCCAGTCCACAGAGAGGACCACATGGCCAGCCCCACTATGAGACATGACACCCCCACTGACCCATGGCCCTGTGGGGAACAGCACCGGAGACACAGTGTGGGAATTGTGCCCAATATGATCCTGCCACACCAAGGCAAAGCACTGGGGGAATGCAGCAGAACAGCAAGGGAATGGAGCGGCAAGGTCCCCAGGGAATGCTGAAAGTGGACTTTTGGACCAGGGCATGGTGACCCAATAGACTGGATTGGAAAACACTCCTAAAGGCCAACAAACGATCCTTGAACTAACTACAAGCTTTTCTTTCTTGTTGTGTTTTGTTTTGTTATTTGTCAGTGATTTATTGTTGTTTTGTTGTATATTGTTGCTTTTGCTCTGTCTTGTTTTTGTGCATGTTAGTATATCTGCAGGTCTGTCTAAATAAGATAGGCTGGATGAACAATCTGGAGGAGAAAACAACGGGACTGACAGTTCCTGGGGGACATGGGAGAGGGGGAGGTGTAGGGGAAAGGAAGTGGTGTTAAAAAACCCAGGGACAAAGGAACAACAAGTGATCCAAATTGGTGGTGAGGTGGGTGTGGGAGGCCTGGTAGCGCATGATCAAGGGGAATATAACAAAGAGGAATTGCTGAAACCCTGGTGGGGACTGAGCATGATAGTGGGACAGGAGGAAAGTTAAGAGAAATAGAGGAAAGAGCTGGGAGGCCAAGGGCATTCATAGAGGTCTAGATAAAGCCATGTACATATGCAAATATATATAAATATGAGGATGGGGAAATAGACCTATGTGCATATATTTATAGGTTTAGTATTAAGGTAGCAGAAGGACATTGGTCCTCCACTCAAGTACTCCCTCAATACAAGAATACTTTCTTCTATGAAATTGGCATTCTATGATGCTCACCTTCCCGAGCAGGTGAATAAGCAAATGTGGTGAAGAAAGCTGATGGTGCACACTATCAAAAGGTATAGCGCCTGGGGTCTTAAAAGCTTGAAGGTAAACAAGCGGCCATCTAGCCCAGAAGCAACAAAGCCCACGTGGAAGCAGCACACCAGCATGTGTGATCATATCATCGTGAATGAGGGTAGCGTGTGATAGGGACCCAATACCCATCTGTAGACAACTGGGCATACTTTGCAGAGGGGTAGTGGGGAGGAGATGAGTCACTCAGGGTTCATTATAGCAATAATGAAATTCACAACGTTCCTCTAGTTCTTAAACGCTTCCCCCTGCCCCAACTACCATGATCCCAATTCTACCTTGAAAATCTGGTTAGACCAGAGGATGCACAGCGGTGCAGATGGGAACTGGAAACGCAGGGAATCTAGGACAGATGAACCCCTCAGGACCAGCAGTGACAGTGGTGATACCGGGAGGGAAGGGGGGGGTGGAGAAAGGGGGAATTGATCACAAGGATCTACATATAACCTCTTCTCTGGGGGATGGGCAACAGAAGGGTGCGTGAAGGGAGATGCCGGGCAGTGTAAGATAAAATATAATAATAATTTATAAATTATTAAGGGTTCATGAGGGAGGGGGTAGGGGGGAAGGAGGGGGAGGGGAAAAAGGAAAATGAGGAGCTAATTCCAGGAACCCAAGCGGAAAGCGAATTTTGAGAATGATGAGGGCAACAAATGTATAAATGTGCTTTACATAACTGATGTGTGTATGGATTGTGATGAGTTGTATGAGCCACAATAAAGTTATTTTAAACAACCAATCAATTCCAAAGAAACATTTCCTACTATGACGAATAACACAATCAATGGTGGCCCTGTAGAAAGCAGGTATACTTACGAAGGGTCATTAATGACTGCCTTCAAAGCATTGAGCAGATCCGCACTTGTCATTGTGTTCATGTTCACATCCACAGCGGCTCCCTTTGCCTTCATGTGAGCGATGTTGTCAGGCTGGTCAGCGAACATGGGAACCCCCACCATAGGGATCCCATGATAAATAGCTTCATAGAGTCCATTTGTTCCCCCATGAGTGATGAAAGCTTTTGTTTTGGGATGACCTAGTTTGAGGGTAGGGAAAAAAGTGGGTGAGGATTTCATTATAAAAATTAACAGGGTTTCAGAGAGAGAAAGGAAAAAATAGGATAACTCACTGAAGAATGCAAATTTTCTATGAAAGCTGAGTATGGTTGACCCTCCCTCTGTGGGTTATACATCTGCAGATTTAGCTGGAAAACATACTAGGGTGCAGGGTGGTCTTGAGGAAAGGTGGCTCCTAAGAAGCAATTTAGTCATCAAAGCAATCCCTGTCATCTAAGAAGGAGCATAAGGTGCTATTTGCCTTGTATTTACATGGTATTAAGTTTTAAAGTCATCTAGAGATGGTTCAAAACAGATGGATGGATGTGTGTAGCTTGTATGCAAATGTTTTGCATTTTATATAAAGTACTTGAGCATTTAGGGTTTGGGGCATCCACCGCAGTCCTGGAACCTATCTCCCCCACGCACACGAAGGAATGATGAAATATGATCGCTGCTAGCTCAGAAAACTTCAGTCCTAGGAGATGGGGGAATCAACTAGTTTCTTATTGCATGGGAAATCTTACTTAAGATATGTGACCTTCATTGAGCTAACATCAGGAAAGTTATGAGATGTTGCACTGAAAACTTTTACTTTTACTATAGGAAATGTAACTAAAATCAATGGTTATTTATTTCACTGTGTATCTTCTAAGTCTGAGAGCAAATTGTGACAGTCTCAGATTTGAGTGTTTGTTCAGTGAATTATTAAACATTACCAAGAAGATCATTCTGGGGTATCCAATCATAGAGTCGAGTATTGGCTCCTAATGTAGCTGGTTTTTGTCCTTTGTATCGCCATAAAACCTGTGCAAAGAAACACATTTATTTCTCAGGTAAAAACGCAGAATGTACTTTGCAATGTCAAATGTAAAACTGTAAGCCTATTTTGAAATTGTTTGAAAACATTGGAAGAATAAAATTATTTACACGCACTTAAAAAGTATTTCCACTGAGCTATAATTAACATAACATTCAATTCAAGAACTCAATAATTAATAAGGCTGTGCAATCATCAGCACCATCAGCTTTGAAACACTTTTTCTTTCTTGTACCCATTGCTGCTGACCTCCCATTTCCCCTCCCCGCCTCTTTTGTGCCCCAGGTCATTATTATTTCTGTACACGAACTTTTAAAATAAAGGGTGTGTTCTAATCGTCTTTAAAGTACACTGCTATTTTGACAATTATTTGAAACTTCTTTCGAGTGAGATTATAAGTGAAGAATTAGAAATGAAAGATATGTATGAGTCATTCATCAGAGGATGAGTTTAAACATCATTTAAAAACATGACTTTTCCCGGCTATCAAAAGATATAGCGTCTGGGGTCTTAAAGGCTTGAAGGTAAACAAGCAGTCATCTAGCTCAGAAGCAACAAAGCACACATGGAAGAAGCACACCAGCCTGTGTGATCACGAGGTGTCGAAGGGATCAGGTATCAGGCATCATAAGAACAAAAAGTCTTATCATAATGAATGAGGGTGTGTATGTGGAGTGGGGACCCAAAGCCCATTTGTAGGACACTGGACATCCCTTACAGAAGGGTCTCGGGAGGAGACGAGCCAATCAGGGTGTGATGTAGCAACGATGAAACATAAAACTTTTCTCTAGTTCCTAAATGCTTCCTCCTTCCCCACTATCATGATCCCAGTTCTACCTTACAAATCTGGCTAGACCAGAGGCTGTACACTGATACAGATAGGAACTGGAAATGTAGGGAATCCAGGATGGATAATCCCTTCAGGACCAGTGGTGTTGAGTGGCGATACTGGGAGGGTGGAGGGAGGGTGGGGTGGGGTGGAAAGGGGGAACCGATTATAAGAATCTACATGTGACCTCCTCCCTGGGGGATGGACAACAGAAAAGTGGGTGAAGGGAGACGTCGGACAGAGCAAGATATGACAAAATAATAATTTATAAATTATCAAGGGCTCATGAGGGAGGAGGAGCGGGGAGAGACAAGAAAAAATGAAGACCTGATGCCAGGGGCTTAGGTGGAGAGCAAATGTTTTGAGAATGATGAAGGCAATGAATGTACAAATGTGCTTTACACAATTGATGTATATATGGATTGTGATAAGAGTTGTATGAGCCCCTAATAAACGATTTTAAAAAAAGAAACATTAAAAAAAACATGACTTCTGTGTAGGTGTGTGTATGTATGTAATCCTGGGCCATGTTAGCTTAATTTTTTTCAATTTCAGTGTTTTACACAAATATAATTTGCTTTAATTTAGGTGCATCTGTTACTTTGATAACTGGTAATTTTTTCGTCCTCCTTACATTTTCCCCTCATCCTTCCTTTTACCTTTCCTTCTTCTTAATTTTTGGGGCAAGGTAAGTTAGGGTATCTGTGTAATACAATTTTTTAAGGAAATATTTGTTGTAGTATGAAATTAAATTTGGGGGCGGGTGAGGGGCCAGCCCCACCCGCTGCTACTACCCATGGGTTCAGTAAGCACAATTGCACGGTTGAGATATATAAGTATTATATTAAAGTCATTGAGAGCATGAGAGCTATTACAATAATGCAGTCAGACACATTACATGGTAGCACTGCTCACCTCAGCCCAGCTTGGTGGTCCACGTGGAGAGAGGGGGAAGGGAAGGAGAGAAGGGAACAAGGGAGAGAGGACTGGAGAGGAGAGGGGGAAGAGAGAGGGGCGACCAGGGAGTGAGAGGTCAGAGAGCTCTATATTGCTGACCCACACCTATATACCTTTTGGGGGCATGCCAGCCCACTAATTACAGGTAGAGACATACGTCACAGGGAGGGGCTGCACTATAGGTTACACAGCAATGAGAAGGGGTGGTCTAGGGACATACATGCAATAGGAAGAGGAGGGATTGGGGTATACACGTGACAAGATGGGCAGATCCCAGATTCAGGATGGCAGCCTAACTTCGGATGTCACAGAGCCGGTTTGGCCTGTTCTTGGCCCAACTGACCATTATCAGTAGGATGCGAACTCCACCCACAGGAGCCTGTCCATTGTTCCCAGCAGCTGGGAGCAGGCCCAGTGCAGTCTGGCAACTGATCTCACGGGAGGGAATGCCTGTGCATCTGACCTCCCCCCACAATTTGTTATGCAACCATGCCATGCTTTCTGTCTGGGACATCTGTAAGACAGATTTTAGGAAATTCACTAAAAGGTGTCTTAGATGCCCAAGCCCCTAACACAAAAGGCTAGAAACAGAAATCCACTTTCAACATATCCAATTACATACTTGTTTTATAATGCTTCATCCATTTTACTAAGTATAGAATATAAAACATCTTCAAGCTATTTCTTGAATAGGAGTATTCAAGAGTTGAAATCAGGAGTAAATAAAGTAACTGAAATCTAGAATTGTAATGGCCACCAATTTTAGATGGACTGAATAATATAAATTGAAATATGCATATTATGTGATCCCTACTAGTTGGATCTTTAATTAATTTTAAATGGTTTGCTAAACCCTGTTTAGGGAACTTAAATGAATATAGATTTCTACTTCTACCCCAACTCCACTTGGATAGAGTCCCAAGATAGTCTAGAGATGTGCACATTCTGGAGCATAATTTGCTGCGTTCTTTGCCACATCAGTTCTCCTTTTTCCTGTACAGTGGAGATAAAATGTTCAAGAACTTTGAGATGTGTTCATATCTCAACTAATATGAGGTCAATGGGGGTGAAAAATGTTTTAATCTGTAATTCATGACAAATAAATGAATAGAAACAGGATGCATATCCATTTGAATGCAGAAGATGCTCTACCCCATGCTGTAACACATCATTTTACTCTTTTGTGCCTTTTACTTAAAGCCCTGGGCAATAATGCTAGTCATATAAGAAGATTCAACCTTCATCCAGAAAGAGTGCTCTTGGCGAAATTCTCTGATGATGAAGTAACTTCTCATCAGCGTGGAGTAGTACTGACCTTCTGAGGAATCTGAGCCAGAGCGGAGGCAATAAGATTGGCCTTTTCTTCCGTGAGGTTTTTGACCATTGACCCAAGAGAAAACACCACAATACCATGTTCACCTGAACTCTGGACGAATTCTTCCATTTCCTATAGAGGCAAAATTCCCTAGATTATAAAATTGCAGTATCACAGGAAAAATAACATTATGATTCTGAACTTGAAGAATGAAGTGAAGAGTTAAAAGGCATCGCTAGACTAGTGCTGAATTCTGATGTATATAATCATTTAGAATTGTTAGTGGGAAATGTAAGTCTGAAAGGTATGGGTAAAAATTATAAAAGGCATTTAATACTAAAGGCATGTGTGGTAGTTACATCATTTCATGCTTTGATATGTAGGTACTAGGGGTGGAATCTAGCTCGTCAACCAGGTCACAGCTTGCCCGATGGCTGCTGTGAGCATGGCCTTCTCTTGGGCATTCTGGGAGTTTCCTCTCTTCTTCCCTGGAGGCAGGACACACTCTTTCTCTGCTTTACTACCCTGTTGACAAGCCACATGGAGCCACATTGAGGGCAGCTAGAGCTCTGGAGATGTATCCACCACCATTGGATCCACAGGACTTTCCACCCACTGATCTTTCTGCATTTGGTATCATGGCATATGCTGCTTAAGTCTAAAGAGGAATTTATGGACTAGTATTGGACATGCGTGCTAATATCGGAATTATGGACTTGATTTGGACTGGGCCGGCATGTTTTCTCAATAGACAATTGTTCTGTGATATAAAGTTCGTTCCTATACACATATGAGTCTCCCTGAATTGGTTTCTCTAGTCTACCCAGACTAACACAGCTTGGAATTAAACCACTGTACAAAGGGAAAGACACGAAAGAGTGCTACCTTTGGTAGAGGTTTGGCGGGTTTGCAGTGCAAGCCTCCAACAAATTCAAAGTTAGGTAAGTATGGCCGAGGGAATTCAAAATCCCAGTATGTTCGGATTAGCCAAATTTCAGCTTTCCCCATTGTCTCACATAATGTAGTGGGTTTTCCTGTAGGAAATAAAGAAAGGTGGGCAAAAGGCATAGGCAGCATATTAGTTTAATGGACTTTTTTACATGGAAAATTTTAAAGGAAAAATTGCATGTAGGCATAAAGAAAACAAAAATCCTCCCAACTGCACCTAAAAGCATCATGATAAATGGTGAAAATATTGACGCTTTCAAGATTCCGTTTTACTTGAATCCATGGAAGCAGCGGAAATCAAGCGGAGCATTGTATTGGGCATATCTGTTGCAAAAGCCCTTTTAAGATGTTGATGCATCTGACCTAAGCAATGGAGTTTTCAGTTGCCTCATATACATGCAAGTACTGGTTTAATGACAGATACATAGACTAATGGAATAGAATTTAGAACCCCCCAACCAATCCATCCATCTATGGCAACTGATTTTCAACAAGAGGTCAAAGGCTGTTCCATGGATCAAAAAACCATTTCTAAAGCAGCTGGCAAAATTGGATATCCCCCTAGAGAAAAATGAAACAGCATTCATATACCTAACACAATACTCATAAATGAACTCAAAGTGGATCCAAGATCTAAATATTAAATCTAAAACAATAAAGCTCTTGTAAAAGGGTGACAAAACTATTGGATTTAATTTTTTTAAAAAGTTTACCAACCACGACAATAAATACATGAGCTGCAGAAAGCTAATTAGATATCTAGGACTTGCTGAAAGTTAAATACTTATTTTCATCAAAAAAACATTATGGAAAGAGTAAAAAGACAACCCACAAATGGACAACATGGGAATTACATATCTGAGAAGAATCTAATCTCTAAAATATATAGAAAATGTCTTCAACAATTAGAGAACAAAATGACAACCCAAGTTAAAATGGGTAAAAACCAAAGAAATACTTCACAAAATACTTCACCAAAGGGACATCACTATCATTAGCAATTCAAAAGTAAGCAAAAACCAAACACTGCCATTGTGTAAATTCTGACTCACATCCACACTACAGGGCAAACAGAGCTGCCCTGCAAGGTTTTGAGATCCTTAATCTCTCTGAGAGTAGAACGTCTTACCGTGTTTCTCTGGAGTGGCTGATAGTTTCAACTGCTAACCTTCCTGTTAGTAACCCAACATGCAACCCACTGTGCCACCAGGGCTCCTTCCATTAGAGACATACAAATCAAAACTAGAATGAGGTGACATCTCACCCTTGGAAAAAATTGCACTGATTGAAAAACAAAAACAGAATACAAAATGCTGTTGAGGATATAGGAAGATTGTAACCTTTTCCCATATCTGGTGGAATTGTGAAATTATATGATCACTATGGAAAACTGTTGTGCTTCCTCTGATACCTGGAAATAGCACTGTTAGGTAGGTAGAGGCAGAACTAGGGGATGTCCCTCTACATGTGAAAGCCTCTCTCCCCTCTTACAGGAAGTTGGAAGCTGCTTAAGGCTAGGGGGGCATGCTCACATTCAGGTCTTGGAGACAGAAAGCCAATAGACCTAGGTGGGATCCCATTAGGGTCAAACAGTATCATTGACCACGACTCCCAACGTGGTGGGGAGGGCCTGAAAAAGTCAGAAACTTTGAGACCACGCTAGCTGTCTCCCAGCGGCTCCTACAAAGTTCAGTATTAACGACTGGGCCACAGTCCTGGGCATAATTGGAAAAGTAGAAGGGCAGAAAAAACGAGGCAGACCCTCAATATGAATTGACAAAGGGGCTGCAGCAACAGGCTCAAGCATAGTACCAATTGTAAGGATGGTACAGGACCCTGCAGTGTTTCATTCTGTTGTGCATAGGTGTGCACTGGGTTGTAACCTACTTGATGGCTCCCAACAACGACAACATGGTCTAGCCATCCCACTACTAGTTATACATCCAAAGGATGTAAGAGATGACACAAACAGATGTATGCACATCTGTGTTCATTGTAGAACTAACAACAAAACAAGTAAACATATGGAAACCATGCTCTTTAATGGTTACCAGGAATGGTGAATTTACATATGTTTATACAATGTCACCAGGGCTCATTTTTATATATACATAGAGAAGTTTATAAGGAAATGGATTACATAATTTTAGAGGTGGGCAAGTTCCAAGTGCTTGGATCAGATGTAAGGCGGGAGGTGCCTTCTGACTCATGTGTTTACCAGGGCTAATGCACATAAGATCAGCTGGTCTGGCAACAGACTGCTGCCTACAGAGGCAATTTAGCCCAATGTAAAGGCAAATTAATCTGGTATGATGGATTAATTTGCCTCTACTGATTACTTCTAGGATCAGGGGGCAATTAATTAGGCTTCTGGCTAAGTCCAAGGATATTGAGGTCAGATGATGAGCCAACTGCAAGATCCAGACCCACTGACAAGCAAACAGGCTTTTTCAAGCTTCCACACATATTGAGAAAACTTCCTCTTAATTGATTGGCTACTCATTGCCAATCTCATCATGGAAGGGATTACATTATATTAGATCACATGATGGGGATGATATCTTAATTGCCAAACCATTGAGAATTGTGCCCTAGTCAAGGTGACATGCACCCTTAACTATCACACTGCTCAATATAAAAATTGTAATAAACGAATTTACTGTAGAAATGAAAATATATTAAAAGAAGATATTGTGAACAATTGTGGTTCAAGGTAGGAAAATGGCTATGTAAAATATAAATTATAAATATAATTTTGTTATTAAAGAAAAAAATGAAACAGGAACATCTTAAGCAATAAAAATATAAGGGCACACATTTATTCATAATTTAAAAAACTATCAGCCAATTAGGATTAGAAAATAACTCTCTCATTCTAATAAAAATCATCTATCAAAACCCCTCCTCAAACATCATCCTTTTAATGTTGAGATTATTCCCATTAAGATAAACACAAGTCAATGAAATGTGCTAATGATAAACTTAATTAAACTTTGCTTTAAAGGGAATCAGTATTTTTATTTGGAAATGATATGACTGTCATTTAAAATTGTCTTAAAGGCTTGAAGTTAAACAAGTATCCATCTAGCAGGGAAGCAACAAAAGCCCCCATGGAAGAAGCACACCAGCCTGTGTGATCATGAGGTGTCGACAGGATCAGGTATCAGAAGACCCCAAATGTTTGTTGTTCATATCATATTAATATGAATGAGGGGAACCGGAGTGGAGACCCAAAGCCCATCTATAGACAATTGGACATCCCTTCACAGAAGTGTCACAAGTAAGGGACAAGTCAGCCAAGGTACAGTGTAACACTGATAAACACACAACAGTCCTCTGGGTCCCCTCCTGTCCACACCTCACCCCATCATGACCCCAGTTCTACCTTACAAATCCAGCTAGACCGAAGCCTGTACATTGGTACAGATAAGAGTTCTTGACACACACAGAATCCCGGACAGATAAGCCCCTCAGGAACAGTAATGGGAGTAGGGATACAAGGAGAGTAAGGGGCAGGTGGGGGGAGAGAGGGGAGAAAGGAGGAACTGATCACAATGATTGACATATAAGACCACCTGCTCCCAGGAGGGCAAGCAACAGAAACGGGTGAAGGCAGACAGTGGACAGTGTAAGATATGAAAATAATAATTTATCATTTATTAAGCGTTCACGATGGTGGGAGGGTGGGGGAGGGAAGGGAAAAATGAGAAGCTGATACCAAGGGCTCAAGTAGAAAGCAAATGTTTTGAAAATGATCATGGCAACAAATGTACAAGTGTACTTGACACAGTGGATGGATGGATGGGTTGTGATACGAGTTGTACAAGGCCCCAATAAAATGGCTAAAAACAAAACAAAAACAAACAAAAATGATTTATTAAAAATGTGTTAGTCGATTACAAGGATCTGTATGTGACCTCCTCCCAGGAGGACGGACAACAGAAAAGTGGGTGAAGGGAGACGTGTGACAGGGCAAGATATGACAAAACAATAATTTATAAATTATCAAGGGCTCATGAGGGAGGGGGGAGCGGGGAGGGAGAGGAAACAATGAGAACCTGATGCCGGCGGCTTAAGTGGAGAGCAAATGTTTTGAGAATGACGAGGGCAATGAATGTACAAATGTGCTTTACACGATTGATATATGTATGGATTGTGATGAGTCGTATGAGCCCCTAATAAAACGATTAAAAAAATGTGTTTGCATGCTGATTGTCACATATGAAATAATACCGATGGAGAATTCAGGTTTTCCTACTAAGATCACGGGAAATTCAGGATTGAAAAGGACAATGACAGTACTCATGAGCGGAGGAAAACCTAATGAAGACTAGAGTTTCAGCAGCACAGCAGTGTTGGCCTCACTTCTTGGTCTGCAGCTTTGTGGGAGGCCACTGGGAAGCCCGAAGCCCCAGCGGGAACCATGCTTTGAAACCAGTACGACAATGGTGTCACTGCTTGGAGCCTGCAGGGCAGGATCCATCAAATTGAATATTCAATGGAAGCTGTTAAACAAGGTTTGGCCACAGTTGGTCTGAAATTAAAAAAACATCTAGTGTTTGTTATCTGCATCGAAGAGGGCACAGTCAGAGGTTGGTGCTTATCAGAAAAAAATTCTCCATGTTGACAACCATATTGGTATTTCAATTGCAGGGCTTACTGTGATGCTAGACTGTTAGGTAATGTCATGCGCCAGGAGTGTTTTGATTCGAGGTTTGCATTTGACAGACCTCTTCTTTTTTTTGATAGACCTGTGTCTATCTAGTCTTGTGTGCCTAATTGGAAGCAAAACCCAGGCACCAACTCAATGATATGGCCGGATGCCTGTGGTATAGGGTGCTCATTGGTTTTGATGATCTGGGCCTTCGCGTTTTCCAAACCTGTCCATCTGCTAACTATTTGGACTGCAAAGCTATGCCCATTGGTGTGCCTCTCAATCAGCTTGTACTTACTTGGAGAGAAATGTCTGGGTTTGTGGAGTGCAACTTCAATGGACTGGTTGAAAATGGCCTGCATGCCTTATGAGAAGCCCTTCCTGCAGAGCAGAACCTAATAACAAAGAATGTCTGCATTGGAATTGTTGGCA